ACAAGAGTGGCTGGCAGGAAACTACTTGCTAATAGCTGCAAACCTCTAAAGATAAGTGTTAAAGAGCCCATGTTATGCCCTTTTTGGGGTTCGTATATTTAATCTATGTATCTACTTTGTACGTTCACAATAGCTAAAGTCTGAAAAAAGTGTCTGTTTTCATGTACTGCTCCTCCTTGCTCCCTCTACGCTCTGAGTCCGTCAGCTGCACTCTGTTGAGCCCACACTGTTAGACCCCACGTGGGCCAAGTCTGCTCTGATTGGTCTGCCGATCCGCTCTGTCGTTATTGGTCAGTTGCTCAGCACACGTCTCGGAAATTTCAACATGAGCTGCAGGGCTTGCCACAACGAGCCAATGGGCTTAGATCAGTGATCTCACACCGACAATGACGTCAGACTGACAAATTTTTATCGAGGGGGGCTAGAACCGAGCGTTACATGCAGCTAATGCTACAGCTAACAGGAGGACGTAGGAGAAGCCGCGTTTCCGCGGACTTTGAATTTTTGCAAATAGATGTGCCTAAACATGCACAGGACACTTGGAAAACACACTAAAGAGCATATAAAACCAGAAAAAGCATAATATGGGACCTTTAACATTTTCCATATATTTCTTTCATCCTCATTTACACAGAGGCAGTGAAAAAGGCTCAGCTGTATCAGTTAATTCTCTGTATGCTAAGCTAAGCTAATAGCACCCTGCATCGAGCTCCACCTTAAGCAGAGAGCGAAAGCAATTTATTTTATTTAGCTTTTTTCCCTGGTCGCATATTTAGATTACATAAATCAAACTTCTTTATAGAAATAACTGCAATTTGTTGAAACAGATTCATAAAATGAGCATCAGTTATCTTAAAAAAATAAAAATAATGGCCTGATTGGTTCCTTATATTTATTTTCAAGTTCTTTTTAAAGAGTACTTATTCTGCTATTTTCAGGATTGGCTGCCAGTCACACTGCGGTTATCTGTACTCGGCAGTTTCAAAACAGTCCTTAAGCGCACAAACAGTGTTGCCCTTGTCCTTGACCTAATCTGTGTGTGTGTGTGTGTGTGTGTGTGTGTGTGTGTGTGTGTGTGTGTGTGTGTGTGTTTGTGTGTATGCGTGTGTTTACTGTGGCAAGGAGACAGGCCTTATCATTTAGTGAGACTTTTCCCACCTGTATCCTCTCTCTTCAAAAGAGTGAATTCCCAGCATTACCCTCCTCATTTCCAGTGATTCTAGCAGTTAAAAAAACAGCATTTATGTAGCAAATGTGTTTTTGTATTTTTTTTGTTGTTGAAAGATTTCTTTAAATGCATACCGTGCCTAATTTGACAGAGATCCTGTTGAACATATGATTGAATGTAATCCCAGAGACTTTTCACATATGATTGTGATTTTTCTTTTTGTCATGTGCAAACACACAGCTCAATTCTGAATAACATACTGTCTTTTTGAACATATAAGACCTCGAGTTCCCGGTTTGTTACTGTCGGCAGTGACTCATGGTAGAGAAACTTGGAGCTTTTAACGGCTTTTAATAAAAGTGAGTCAAGAAGGACAGAGGGCATCAGAGCCAAGAAAAGCGAGAGAGAGAGCGAGAGATTGAAAATCTGTTGGGACTCCTTCCCAGCGGTAAGAGATCCATTTGGACAAACACGTGATCCTCTTCACCCTGCAGCCGCTGGGACACACTCAACTGTAACTGCGAGGAAGAAGAAGAAGAAAATGGCTTAAAAAGGACACATCTGTTGTTTTTGTTTTCTTAAATCAGTTGATGCCTCTGGTGACAATTAAAAACACAACGTGAGATTTGATATCACTTTTTTTATTTTTCATTTTTATGCCAATATTGCAAGTTTTTTTCTCCTTTTTTTTATTTTAATGACATACAGATTTTTGAGCATGATCTGGAGCTGCAATATGTACAAAAACAAAACTAATGTTATGTTATAAAAAAAAAAAACAACGTCCCCTTTGTATTTTATTGCTAAATGTTACAAACGGCACAGGTTTCTACCATCAGCAACCCTTTGAGCACTGAGTATAACTACCACAATGACACCTCTGCTTACCATTTACTAGAATAATACACAGATACAGTGAGAGTGAAAGAGAGTGGAGAAGAAGGAGAAGAAGTAGTGGAGGAGGAGGGACAACAAAAAAAAATGATCCAAGTGTAGCAAAGCTAGCATAACAGGCTGCGTGTTAAAACAAAACAAAAACAGGAGGAGGAAGGAGGGGAAACTCCAAATGTACAAACATAAACATGAGCGATAAAGAGTGAGGATGAAATGTGTACGAGAAAAAAGAGAAAGGTTAGCGCTCTGTAGTGCAAACAGCCAAATAGTCTGAAGGAGAAGTAAGGCTGAGTGCGACAGAGAAGGGCTCCACACTCCTTTTTTTTTTTTTGTATTTGTTTAAAGCTGCCTCTCACTCTGCCCTGTTTTTGTTTAGCAGTGCATGAAAACTACATTATAAAAAAGACATTTGGCATATTAGAGGATACATACATTGTTCAGAGCTCATTATAAAAAAAAAAACACAAACACAAAAAGAACAGCTGCTTTTGGAAGAGCAAAATATGACCAGACACACACACACACACACACACGCAGAGAAAGAAACCAGTTAGCATCGCTAATGTGATAGCGTTTATTTGTTGCTAGGTTAATGTAGCGTGTTTTTGAAGAAGTCATGTAACATTTTTGACCACTTTTGATGCTTTCTGTATCCTCCCAATCTCTTAAAAGCATTATTTTAAGAGAGAAAAACAAACTGTAAACTAGCTCAGATTGTCAAGGCGATACATTTTTTTTATTCATTTTTTTTTTTAACAGCATGCATCACCCCTTTATTAGCTTGAGCAAATGTGACAAAGCCGCTCTGTTCAGACTCGCGTGAGGAGATGATGAAGAGGCGGGGGGGGGGGGGGGGGGAGGAGGTAAAGAGGCGTCTCGACTTGTAAACAAAAACCCAAAAATATCGGGGCTCTAGGGAGGGAGAGTGGGAGGGGGTGTGTGTGACGCAAATGCAGAGGCTTTGTTAAAAAAAAAAAAAAAACACTCGCTTAATGTAGAGCTAGTAAACAAAACAAAAAAATAAAAGGATAAAAACACTCAAGTTAGAAATCTACAGTTAAGATTTTGTGACCTCCATCCTGCAGAGTAAAGGGTTCAGGAAGAAGCGCAGAAATTTATTTGGATGCTACACTTGTCGCTGCAGCACCGACGACATCCTCCACGGTTTCCGGATAGACAGGCAGTGGCCTCTTTCTTTTTTTTTCTTTTTTTTTTTTGTTAAATACACTCCCAGGCCGACCTAGGCAGCATGGGCGATAATGCACTTTTCTTTTTTTTTTTTTTTCTTTTGACATAAGACAAGGGGGAGACTTTGTACCAATAATTTAAAAAATATCAATTTTACAATATAAAACATTTAACATTAATGACTGACAGGTGGGCGAGGGTAGTGTAAAGGGGGCATAACTTAATCTATTTCTTTTACATTGGTAGGGTGCAAGCGAATCCTTTTTTGTTCCTATTTCAAGGGGTGTTTTTTTTTTTTGTTTGTAAGAATGAAATACTTCATTTTCAGCAGACATTCAAGTTACAGTCTCGTTGTTCATTTTGTTTTGCCGGTTGTGTATACAGTCGTACTGTAATACTTCAAAATTCACAAGTATTGCCTTAAAATGTTTATCCAAAATCATCAGACATTTTGGATCGTGGTGGAAGACAGAAAACCCCCGAAGAATCTCAAGGTTTTTCTTTGTTTTTGGAGAGCACTCTTTAAAATGGAGCGAGTCTGACTCATTCCATTACAGCAACTACATATGACACGCACGCACACGCACACGCACACGCACACACACGCACACGCACACACACGCACACACACGCACGCACGCACGCACACACACACACACTTGCTGGCTGGTGAACTAGTGCTCAGGCGGACTAAGACAATGAAATGACATGTACAATATTGCTGTTATGTTTGGGAAACGCACATCCTCGATAATACACATTTAAAGGCCTTTATGCTCCTGCAGGACACGCAGCAGTCGCCATGGATACGAATGAGTGCAACTAACTCGGACAGCGAGTTTAACAATGAACACATGCTTTGTTTGTTTGTTTTTTTCTGCAAAGATAATAAAACTACAGGAGATTTTTTTTTTTTGTTTGTTTTCTTAAAAAAGAAGGCTGAAAAGAGCTTTTACGGCGCTCGTGAGACGTTGTACCAAAAGTGAAAAGGTGCTGGGCACCGCATGAGAATAATAATTAAAAAAAAGACGGGTGTAGTTGTACTTGTACACCATCAAAAGAAGGCGTAGATGTCCTTCAGAAGGCTGCTTTAGAGTGAAGCTGCAGCGATGAGCTCGGGGAACAGCAGAGCTCCTGTGATAGGAAGCGAGGCGTTTGTTTTTTGTTTTTTGCTATGCACAGGTTCTTCCATGGTGAGTAAACAGCAGATAAGAGAGCATGAAGGATGTTTTTTTTTTTGTAGTAATTAAAGTTATCAGTAAGGCCACATCAAATTGAAAAGTCTTTTTGGAGTTAAATGCCAGAAGAAGTACAGCACACACTTGGAAGACACCTCGCTAGGTTTCCCGACGTTATCTGATGCGTTAACAGTGACCAATAGAGCGACAGATTACAGGATATGACTGTAGATATGTGACCCTTCTGACTGCGTGCACAGTAAGAATAAACAGTACTAAGGCTATCTTTGAAGTACATTAAAGATGACTTGTTTTTGTAACCGTGGAAGTCTACTTTCTGACGTTTTCTGCAAACGTTGCTATGGCTCCGTGTGAGATGTACTGATGTGTATAAGGAGACGTAGCGCACATGTTGAGTATTGCAGGCAAGGCAGAGGCGTTGCTTAAAGCTTTTCTTTTTAAAGACTTCATAAAAAAACCAATAACAAAACATAGGCCCTCTGAGGTTAATCCCCATTTAAAAAAGAAAAAAAAAAAAAAAAAACTTTGCTGATGTAAATAAACAACCAGACTTCAGATTTGTTTTTTCCCCAAAAGAAGAAGCAAAGAGTATCAAAACAACAAAAAGGTCAGTCCAAAGACTGAAAAAGCAGGCGTTTTGTAAGGTCACAATAACATACAGGCCGGGTTTTTTGGACCTTGAAAAAGGGGGGAAACAAAGCCCGGGCTCAGAGGAAGAATAGAAACTATTTGGTAACAAAAGTGTACTATATGTTTAATACAAAAAAGGTATGGAGAAAAATGTACCTTTACTAAAGCTTATACAAGATCCTTGGTCCATAAAAACTATTTCATCGTCATGTTTTCTGTGTGTCCCTCTGCATCCTTGCGCTCCCTCCAACAACATTACATCCAGCCGCCCTTTAGGGAACCACAAAAGAAGGCAAAACAACCAAAAAAAAACAAAAAGAAATATTTATAAACAAAAAGTGGGAGGGGCTTTGGGCGGTGCAAAAAATATACTTTTCCTCTCAAGAGAATATTTTGTACACAATGGATGTATTGTTGTTGTGGTTTATTCCCCAACCCCCCCCCCGTAGAAAGGTGCTGGTACTCTGAGCCTGCAGGAACTTCTCTCATTCTAAGCACCACAAACTGGAAAGGCAGGTCCCTAAAGTAACCACGGGAGGGGAGCGTGGCAAGGAGCACTTTTTTTTTTTATTTTCTTTCTTCCGCGTATTCCCATTCGCTGAAAACGTTGTAATGTTGCTCCTCCTTCAGATATTTCCCTGCGTTTGCTCCCTTCTCCTGCCAATTTCAGCTCCTTTGTATCCAAAATCCAAACGCAGCACTTAAAAGAGTGAGTCAGTTTTTTTTGTTTTGTTTATAATTTCCCATAGTCTTTATACGCCTTGCGATACGTTTCCTCTCAAGGCATATTGTGTTGTGGCCCCCCCCCGGTGTGCGTTAGGAGACCACAGCGGCCGCGGCGGTGGAGGACGAGGACGTGACTCCCGCGTTGGAGGTGCTGTTGGGGCCGTAGACGCCAGAGCCGGCGTCCTGGCTGCTGCTGTTGCTGAGCAGGCTGGAGTTTCCGGCCCGCAGGATGGCTCCGGCGGCGCTGCAGTGGGGCCGCGGCCCTGGCTCCGGCGTGTAAGTGAAGGTCAGTGTGGTGGAGTAGATGAGGCCGTCATTCCTAACCAGCGTGACGGGCACCTGGACCGGCTGCCGCACCCAGCGCCAGCCCTCGCGGAAAGCCGAAATGTCGGGCACTACGCACAGCATGCTCTCCGCACACCTGGAGGAACAACACAAAGAAATGAATCCACTTTAAAACTACGGCTATGAACATGGTGAGAGCATTACGTTTGAATGAATGGATGTATTTTAGGTCTATATCGTCAAGCTGATATGGTAACATTTCCTGTGATCCTACATGCCCACTACAGCTAGCATTAGCATTTATGAAAAGGGAAAGCCTTCTTCTAGAAGCAGAAACGTCAGGACAAATAAGTCCAGTTGGAAAGCCATCTGCCTTGATGGGTTGGTCACAACATTCATGTAGACGGATGGATAAATGCTGTAATCCCAATATGATCTGCACATGTATCAAAGGTGGGAAAATCTCTTCTAAGATTTAAAGTCGATTCATAACTTCCATATATCTAATTTGGAAGTTATGAAGGGGGGCTTATCAGTCACTCCCTGCTAAGTGCTAAGGCTAGCTCTTTAACTCAGTAGAATGCCAAATAGAGCAACAAGAAATTCAGCCACTCTCACTCCTCAAGTATGTACTCATTCATAAACAGACTTTCAATCCATGATTCAATGAATCCAGAATCGTTTTGAAACAAAAAACGATTCTGAAGCGAATCGTGACCCCAAAAAAATCGAAATCGAATCGAATGGTGAGACACCCAACGATTCCCAGCCCTATGTGCTAGGTAAACTGCTGGCGGCCTATGACTCGGTGCTTCACAACTATCAACATTGCTGGAAGCTGAGAGCTCAACTACGCAATTACAAACTCCCCATGGTGAAAACAGATGATACAAGATTAGTGTTACACAGATGCACAGAAACTGCATGAGGACTTAATTGAATGCAATGGAAATCGTCATGCAGGAAATCAAGTTTGAACTTCAATTCCCTATACCCCCCTAGACCAGAATTCACGGTATTTTATGGTACTCAAGATGTCGGGGGAAATCAATAGAGAAACTGTTAACGGTTAAAATAAAAGAAAGTCTACGATTAGATAATACAGGAAATGTACTGCTGAAGAAACAATTAAGTTCATCACACATTCATAACCTTTTCTATTTAAGAATATATGCAGAACACAACCTAAAAGGGAAATGATGTCTTAAACAAGACCCAATAATACAAGAGTATGAATAGACATCAAAGCAGATCAGAGATTCTAACTTGTTGCTGAAGCCAATGTGTGTGGGGTTAAGATACATAATGAAAGACTGCAATGACCAGGATGCACCTCTTTTCTGACAGTATCTCTAATATCACTTTGAAAACCGACCTACGTAACTATCTGAGAGGAGTGTTGTCATGCAGACAGGGAGGTCTGACCGCCTCACAGCTCGGTGGGTGGTTCTGATAAACACACTAGATCTAATCAGTCCTTAAATCTCAGCCTGACAAAAGGGACAGCTACATTTCACAAGAGAAAAAAAAAACAATGTAATTTAGCTCTTAGAGAAACTAAGCAGTGCACTTAATGAAGAAAAAGTAAAGACTCATGATTCATCACGGGCTGAATTGATTAATTTAGAGAGAGAGAGAGAGAGAATTAGGCTCCAGGAGCTTTAGCTTTCAGAGAACATTTTGAAAGCGTTTCATAATTCAAATTTCAAACTTATTCAAATCTCCATCATGTTCATTAAACCTAAAGCCATAACTTTCTGCGACTCTAAGATCCACCATAAATCTTTAAATGAAGTTGAAATTGACAATTTGTATGCTAATAGGACTAAAATCAAGCAGGGCTGGTGCAGATAATGGATCTCATTTTGGCTCTGAAATGGAAAGAGGACTTCTATGTGCTCTGTAAAGTCGAGTGTGAATAAAACAAGTTAGAAGAGGTCAAAAAGCTCCAGCCACACTTGTAGTATGAAAATCAACTTTATTAACAAATAGACGTGTTTCAGCTTGTAGACTAATGACCTTGTCATTCCTCGTGCCAGGAAATCTGACTGAATATAAAAGTGAGGCAGGTCGAAAAAAAAAAAAAAAGTGTTTAAAAGAAAGTGTGAATGTTGCCCGAAGAAGAGACCCACCTGTACATCGTCTCTGCCTCAACGTCTCCGAACCAGACCCGCAGATTTGGAGTGAAGTTCTGTCCCGTCAGCTCCAGCATGGCGACATCTCCACCGCCGTTAAGCTGCGGAAAAAGGAGGAGGAGGAGGAGGAATTTTAGTAAGCTTGCCGGTTTTAAAACGACACTGTGAGCAACGTTAAGTTCAGTGAGGAAAGTAGCTGTGTCCTTTTTGTACCTGTAAGCTCTCTACCACAGGCACAGGGGTGACAGGTGAGTGCACGGGGCCCATGCCCTCGTAGAAAGTGTATTCGGCCTTGTCTGTGCTGATGATTGTCCAGGAGGCGCCGTCGTTGATCATCTCCTTGTTTGGTTCCTTTGGGCATGGAGTGGCCTGGAAGAATGAGGAGAGAAGGAGACGCTAAACTTTAACTCTCCTCAAGTCTGAAATTACAGATCCCACATTAGCTTAACTATCGTCCTAATAAGAAAGTGTACAAGCTATTAAAGGTGAGAAATAGATGCAGTATTGAGCTTTGGTAAACCAGATGTGGAGGCAAAGGGACCTCAGGCCTGCATTGATGCATGTTTCCCTCACTTGAAACTGGATGATCCTTTCTTGGGAAAGGCACAGGTACATGCGTTCTGTGTCCTTCAGGTAGAAGGCACACTTGTGTAGCTGGGAGACCGGGTCGTCAGCGTCCAGCAGCGCCGTCTGCTTGTCCACTTTACGGATTATCTGAAAGAGAAAAATGACCGAGAGAGAGATTAGCCAATAGGAAGATAGAAAAACTGGGAAAGAGGGGGTACAGGAGAATGAAACAAAAACAGGAAATGAAAGGGGAATGAGGAAATGGAAAAAAAAAACTTCCTATTTAATACCTGAGAGGTTGTTAGCGTAGCTTAGCATTAAGACTAAACAAGGGGAGCATAAATTTTAAAAGTTCTATTTCTTGTCAAAAGTTGCTGTTTTGAGGGATGTCTTCTGCAAATCCAAGAAATAGTTCTGCATATTTACCCCCCCCCCCCCCAAAAAAACCCTAACTATTCCTTTAAGATACCGATGAGACAAAGACTCTGCTTATCTAATGAAGGCTTTTACATATTTTTAATGATAGTTTTATTTGAGTGTATTGTATTCACTATAGTCCTACTTTTGTCAATCCGTTCCCAAAATCAGATCATTAAAGTCTCCTTTTCTTTTTCTGTTCTAATCTCATTTTTTTTCTTGAGTTTATTAATTTTTGGATGTTTTAAAAAAAAGACATTGATAGATTATTTTCTCCAGGACCACCATAAAACATGACACATTTTTATATGTCTTTTTGTATCAAGCAGAACAATCTTTAAACATTACAACAACTAAAAGAACAAAGCAATAAACTGAGGAGAAATGTCTCACACACACTGTAAATGTTTTGGTCATACTCAGATTTCAGGATTTCAGGGAATCTACTAGGATCTTTCATCGTAATAAAACAAAGAACTGGTCCAGAGTAAACCCCCTTCTTATTAACAACCATTTATTCTACAGAGACGACAGATGTTTTCTTTTACCAGTCTGGGAAGCGCCATGCCCGTGACCGAGCACACCAGCTTGACTGTCTGACCGTAGTGGATGTAACCGTCTCTCACAGTGAACTCCTCTCCTTCTGACTCCTCGTCATCCACTGAAGACAACACGCACGAAAAAAACAAACACAGAAGAAGAAAGAACAAGTCAGGAACGCTTCGAGCTTTGACATTTTCTATAATCACAATCAATCAATCAATCCCTTTCTTTGTCAGTGAGTCAGGCGTGTAATTACTACAGCGTGGGTTACTTTTGAAATGAACAGAAGAGACAAGCTGTCAAAAAGAGTTCCTCTGTACAATCTGCTGTTCCTCTAAACGCTCTCTTCTCTTTAATGTTGAAGCTGGTGGAGTTTTCTTACACAGTGGATGTAGAAGGCGCCCCACTGCTGGGAGCTGGCGTGAAAGTTGCCGCCCTCCACGTGGAGGTAGCGTGTGCTGACCGTTTGGGACCGAAGCCGGTTGAAGAGTGCCACCTTGGTCCCTGATGCGATACACACTTTGGACAAACACACACACACAGGTTACACAATGACCTCAACATGAAGTGTTGCTTAAAGGTCTTATAGCTCTGTGCTACATGGCAAATCAAGGTTCTTGGAACTCAACTTCAGCTACACCACCCTCTAGTGGCAAAAAAATGATACTGATTTATTTTTATTTTTGAAGAGCCTAACAGAGAAAACAAGTAAAACAGATTTTATAAAACAAAAGATAAATTAAGTCAAGGTTTCATAGATTGTTAAGCAAATAGAAGTATTAGAAGTTACTTAATCTCCACAAAAAGCAGCAAAAAACAAACAAATGTAAGCTCTATATAATACATTTAAGTCAAATAAAAATGGACAGTTAACTTAGCTTCAACATACCTATATTCAGTCTAGAGCTAAAATCAACCTTCTGATTAATAAAGTCAATTAAAGTGCATCTTCCACCCAAATTGACCAAATGTGTGTGAGACACACTCGAGCGAGACTTACAGTCTGCGTTTTTGAGGGACTGCTTCTTTTTTGAAGGCTTGGAGATGACTTTGATCCTCTTGCTGAGGAAGACACCGATGTCGGCGCTGTTGCCGTAGAACATCTTGACGGACAGCATGA